CGAGCTGATTCGATCAGATTATGGATGAACTAAGGGACTAAGATGATACAGGTTGTCTGGAGGATTGTTCAATTAGTGGAAGTGGAAAAAACAGAAGTATGACGATCAATATTGCTTTTGCAGATGATGCAGTTTGAATATTGTGTTTTATTCAAATACTTTCAATATATAATAAACAACAGTGTGGAAGCATTTTCCTGTAGTGCTTTTAGTTTTTAGTACATCAGCTACATCATTACTTTATTTTCTTTCAATTGAACCGTTTAACATAAAACATTTTTATTTCCAAGTTTTTATTTTCTAATTTTGTTACTCAATTCTTCTCATTCCGTTAAGTTCATTAAGTATCTCAGTATTACAAGGTAATCCGCCATTTTGTAGCTGCGGCCATCTTGAATTTGCATTTTTCAAAATGTACTTACTACTATTCCACTAGTCAAGCCCTGTTATTTGATACCCATATTGAGGTAGTTGTGAAACAATACGCAATCCGCCATTTTGTAGCTGTGGCCATCTTGGATTTACAATGATACAGAATTTATTCAATTCTATTGTCATCAAAACTAAATGTGTGTACCAAATTTCAGATCAATCTGTCTACAGAAAGAGGGTCAAACTTCAATTACTAAATTGATTCAAACAAACAAAGAGGGCAAGCTGAATAAAACTGTTTAAATATGCCACTAACGTTTTCGGTGCCAAAAACCAACCAAAATCATGAAAAATTTGCAGAGTAGGTGGAAGACTTTTGTAGAAATGCAGTCAGAAGGATAGTAAATCAATATTTCTTTAGAAACGAACTCCCTACTCTTGACAAAGTATATACATATAAACTCATATGCCGCTCTGGAGCAAGTTTCAAACACACTACATTGTATAGATATCAAAAACATCTGAAAGTTTGCTTTTAGGAAGGAGTGACATAGTGATATGGAGAAGAGAGTATTTAAAAAAATTAAATCTTTCAGGATTGAAAATAGAAAGAATTGTTATGAAGACGAGACTTGGGTAAATGCCGTACATACCAAATAAAAAATTTGGGTTGTTGATTCTGTCACTTCATCAAGACATGCATTTTCTGATGGACTTTCAACAGGATTGAAAAAACCATCAGGTTTTCAGTATCTATTCGGTTAATTGAATAATTCTTTGAAAATGAATGGAAGTACTCTATTGGGACATTTGAAACAGTTGATATTCAGGCTCCTTATTGCACGGCATTGTTAAGATGAATGCCATCTTCAGCTGGTTTATTTTAAGGTGAGGAAAAAGGCTCATAGTTCGCTACATTGGTGATGATCGATTCGTACCAGAAGCGCTTTCGAATAAAAAAAACGTAAATTACCACGAGGAATTAATTCCAACTACAGCATCAAGGATATCTGATATTCGAGACTGGCTGCGTTCTAGAAGTATCAAATTTGAATAAACATTACTTGAAGAGGAATTTTTAGCAATATTTCATGAGTATACAGAAAAAAATCATAAATATATTATAAATGAAATGGTCAAAACTCGAAATGAAATTGTTTCAAGGCTACCACCGTATCAATCCGAACTTAATCCTATTGGGCTAATTTGGGCTGGTATAAAAAATTATATTGAGGAACATAATACTACATTTGCTGACATGAAAAACATATTTCATGATGCTATATAGCTACCATCGCTCCAGAAAAGTGAAAAAAATGCATTGATCACGTGCAGCAAAAAGTGTAAATAATGTGAATGATAATGACACGTCTTCTGACGAACGGGAATGGTAACAGTATATAAAATATTCTCAAAGCTATTTCTGTATTTATTTTCAAAAACTAAATCATCATTAAATTATTATGAATCAAATGGAACCATAACGACCAACAAACACATTTTCATGACTTAGAAACTTTAAAACTGTTCAGAAACAATATACCTCTCAGTTATCAAAGTTTCAACATCGTAACTTGAAAGCGGAATATTCTAGTTTCAACTGATGAAAGCACTACATACATTCATGTAGAGTAATACGAGTGTGACAGTTGTGATTAACTGATTTGAAAAATTTGAGTTGTAAAATACTTTCCATGAACTTGATTTCCGTTGAATGTAACTGGAAAATGACCTCATTGTCATCATTGACAAAAACTCATATAAAATCACACAACCTCAATCTACGCTGTTTCCATCGAAATCTATCAACAGCGTTAAATCTCAAACAGAAACAATTTAACGCCACTGAAAAATTTTCACATAATTTACTCCTTTCAGCCCTTTCCCATTTCCGGCTAATTTCCAAAGTTAAGCGCTTTCTCTCTCCCGTCCCCTTTGAAGATGTGTCGAGACGAGAGATGGGAATTGGGGCAGTGTTTACGTGTATATTTTGATGCTATATATAGTATACAACCGTGTAAGCTTTTACTGTGAGGGTGGTCGAGATTCAGTTGAGCTTGGGCTGCCGCTGTGCTAGCGTCGCTCGACGTCCCGACGGCACGTTTTATCCACCGATTTTGAAGGGTGTTTCACAGTTGTTTCATGAGTATTTCGAATTTCGAGTGAGAAGGGGTGATTTCAAATCGTGGATGACTGAATTGGGCCTGTGAGCTTGATTATCTGAATATGTTTATTTGAAATTTACAAAATAATCGCAAAAATATATCAGGCTCATGGTTGCGATTTTGGTATGATCATAAAGGCTTGTGATTCTTTGATATATTTCAGCAACTAACCTCAAGATCAGGAGATGAGTCATAGAGAAGACATATGGAGATAATTATTACTTTAATTATTCATTTTATACTCAAGTTGAAATAATATTGTTCAACAAGTGAACAAAGTGATCATCCACATTCGAAAACGATAATTTGCAGTTGTTTCTTCACTTTTTTGAAATACTATTCTTCTAGACTTTGAGGTAAGATTTGAGTGAGTCCCAAATATTTCATTAAGCCAAATTCAATAATTTTAGGTCGTAGCTTTTAAAATCGCATTTCCAATCCAAAATTTGTTCAGGATCCAAATGAATATATAGACTTTTCTCGGCCGGAGGCAGTTGATTTAACCAAATCATATCGCACAATGTATTTAATGTGAATTATATGTTATTATTATTTATACTTGCTACAGCATTTTAACAATAATCCAAATATTTTTCAATTGTACGTATAAATAGCTTTCAAATGAGTAAATATCAACTATTGAATTTCATTTAATTACTAAATACAAACTGAGCTCAAAATATTGGAATAGAAAATTTGCAATAACGGGCGACGCGTCGTTTGCTTTGGACGCTCTCTCCAAATAGTTGATTTAATTTTTTTGAATGAATACAATGACCCAAATTCATCTAGACATTGAATAACTTTCCATTTATTTATTTATGTTACAAAACTTTATTTGGAAGAATTCGGCAACAATATTGTTGTGAACTTCAATTGTTTTGCTTTTCTATACCAAAGAAGGTTGGTTATTGTTTTTCTGACGAAATGCATCGCTTCTTCAAACAAAATTATTTCAAAGGTTTACTATATTGGCATGACGTAAAATTTCGTGCAAATTTTCTGTGACCTTTCGATATTAACAGATGTTGTGATTAAAAAATATATATTTGTGTTTTATTTTTCCTTGAGTAAACATCTGCAATCTCAATATAAACTTTCACAAGACCAAAAGTAAAGTTAATTGAAGATTTGATATAAGAAATCAAAAATTCTATGTGATATTATAGAATTTTTTTCTATTATGTTATTGGGAATATCCGTTATATGAAAAATTACATATTTTCATTTTTTTCAAGATTTAGTAATGATATTCAATTCATAGTTGATTCATTCGTAGAGTTCAGAAAAAAATGTTCAGATTTCAGACAGATCTGTGATCATATCATTGTGATGTTTTCGAAAAAAAATTATGAAAAAGTATCGATATTTAGAATATTTTGCATTATTACTCAATACGTTTGTCCACGAATGCTTCTAGATTTATCTGTTGATTTAGGAAAAATTACAAGTTTGATTAATCCCTTTTCGTAAAATGTAACAGTTTCGACTTCTTCCAGTCGAAAAGGTGCAGTTCTCAAAGCTATTTCTGTATTTATTTTCAAAAACTAAATCATCATTAAATTATTATGAATCAAATGGAACCATAACGACCAACAAACACATTTTCATGACTTAGAAACTTTAAAACTGTTCAGAAACAATATACCTCTCAGTTATCAAAGTTTCAACATCGTAACTTGAAAGCGGAATATTCTAGTTTCAACTGATGAAAGCACTNTGAAATATTTTTTCTCTTGAATATAGATGGGACTACTTTTTCGAATATTAACAATAATCTGAAATTTTTGTGTTTTCTTGTATCAAAAAACGATACCTATCTGAAATTATTTCAATGTATGAATAAGGATAAAAAATATCCGTTCCATTACTTTGATGAAAAATGACTTCTGGAAACCTCAGTGACTAATATTTTTCAAAAACGAGTCGTGAGTTAGTGAACGTTTCATCTATAGACGCTAACCATGAATACGATTCTGAAAAAAATATATTATATATTGTTTTGATGAAGTAGGTTGGAATATGAACCACAAATCTTTGATAACTGAACCCGATTCAGAACGAAACTACCTGAACTGGAGAATATATCTTGGTATTTTTTATTTAATAAATATTTCTGTATTACTCATGTCATGAAACATGCATATCGTATCGTGACTGATGATGAAATAATAATATTTGATATTTCTTGTTACACTCACACTCTGATTTCAAGGAATGCACCTTGTCGATATTTTTTTCATGTCAAAGTGACCTATATCTACGTGACATTCATCGTATTCACAATAAAATCTGTTCTTACAACAATACGATTCATGCTCTAGAAATATGTTGATCTACAATCACGTACAAATGTGGATGAATAATTTTTTCATCGCAGATTTTTTCTATATTTCGTTCCATCGAAAAAAATAACGAAAACATGCAAATAGATGCCTAAATAACTTAAAAATAGTATTGTACCTGGGCGAAGGAAGCCAGCATTCGAGTTTCGCAATACTTCATCGGTGGCGGTAAACACAACACTCACAGAACAACACCTAAACACAACTAAACACATAAACGGTAACAGCCTCTATTAATTATTTCTTTTTCGCTAGAAAGAACAAGAGTTAGTTGTGTTGTTGCGCAAAAGGGTCATTGAAGTCGCTGAGATGCTAGGACGAAAACGTAGGCGGTCGGCGCGCTCCTAGATGCGCCGGTGCACTTTGTGTTGTTTGTATGTGTGTATATCTATAGCGTTGCCGGTTGCCGGCAATACGGCGGCGGGCGGACTCTAGCCAGCCGCTCCGCGCAACACTGACACCTCCACTTTGCCACCTCCCCGGAGGTCCACGTCTTCCAGATGCAGCGCTCCCCATTCCCATCCCCCAGGTCTGGCCTTCCCGCGCCTTCTAATAAACCGACAAATACCCCGCCAAATCATTCTCGAGGACGACGCCACAAAAAGCGTTTCTGCTTCTCTTTGCGGTGTTCCTGCATTTACGGGAGCGTTTTTATTTTGCTTATGTCTCGAGATGATTTCGAAATTAGATGAGATGAAGAGTTATCCACTGCTATATACTGGGTATTTCTTGAGAAGCATTTAAACCCTTTTTTGAGCATTCTTCCATATTACTACTTCGCTATTGAACTATTGAATATTATGTCAACTGAAATGTGTTAGAATTAATTTTAAAATAGGGGGAAAGACTGAAGATTATTCATTTCAGAGAAATGTTATTTGAAGAAAAAGCACGATATAAATATTGAAATCTATATTTGAGAATGTATTGGGTTTCTGAATTCTCCATCAACATAAAGAGAGTAAGAAACTTCCGGGGAATAAATAAAAATATCAATTTAACAGCTATTTTTGACAATGGACATTGAATTTCACCAGAATATTTTATATTATTCCGTGTAATTTATTATTCATGAACGAAAGCAGTTGCTTCGGATGGATTTTTTTTCTTTNGGAATAATATCAGATAGTTTTTCTTGAATGACTGACTGGACTATGTTTCATTATGGTGGTTAATGAATTGATATTTACGAGTGTCTTGAAGATTTAAGAACGATTCAAATACAAAAACTTCAAAATTATTTGAAATTTGAAAAAAAGCGTACCAAGTGAAACTCTAAATCGTTATATTATTCACGAAAACAAGTCCTTCAAGAATGATTCATTTCATCATAAACACTTTCAGCGGTCCTAAACAGCTTTAAAATTAGCGTGAAATACGGAAAAACTCCCGATATGAATTCAAAGAGCAATTTAAAAAGCGCATATTTTTCATTTGATTTATTGGCCTGAATTCACATAATAGGCAATTATGATGAGGTCGAAATGTCTTCCTTCTTTAGGGCAGGAGCCGCATCGCATTCGAATCCCCTTTTTGCCTCACCCCACACCCTAAACTTAGGGTTAAAATAGTCGATGTTAGTGTTCTCGCCGAATTTTGTTGAGGCTCGCGCGGGGATCAATGAAATTTTTACAAATAGAATGTTACAGTACTGACCACATGAACCTGAGTTATTGTTAATTTGTTGAAAAAAGTTTTGTCGAATCAAATTATGAAATTAAGATGATTATTCGATTTTTATGGTTTCGAGGAATTTATTCTGGAAGTCTAACATTTGGCGGAGGAGCCGTAATGAAAAACTGAGTTAAATATACAGGCAGTGTTTAGCCGATACTACTATTGTTATTTAGGAAACTGTAAGACCTACAAGGTCGGTTGAATTGTACAGGGAAACTAGAATAATCTATTTTCAGATCGAGACTATAAGTGGTTGTTTTGGAATGTTCGCCAAAAAGTATAATTGTTGAATTTCGTTTTTTGGTTCTACCGCCTCCATTTCGAATGATATAAAAAAACCAGAAGAACTTCCAATACTGTTTCGTATTTGTTAACATCTGATATGAAAGCATTTGCAATGCGACGTTCCGTTCATTGGATTTCATCATCAACTCTTTTTTTAAAATACGAACTTTTGAAGCCACTGTAAAAACAAATGTACGTAAACTCCATATATCCAAAAAGGGGGGCAAACTGCGGACACGTCTTTCTGGCTATTGGCCTCATCAGCGCGGTGCAGCCAAGTGTAAAGGTGGGCAACACTTGTTTGCCGAAAGCTACCATATTGAAAAAAAAATGATTATAGAATCTAATGAACAAAACGTTGCACTGCAAATTGGAATGAATCATATATGAAACAGTAATGAAAGTTTCCCTGCCAAAAAACAAATTTCGACAATTCTAGATTTTGGCTAATATTTAAAAAACAACAGCTGATATTCTCGATCTGAAAAGAGATTATCAGTCCCCCAAAAAAGGAAACATTTGTCCGATTTCACCGATCTCGTAGGTCTTTCCGTTTCCGAAGCAGCTATAGTAGGATCAGCTGAAAAACTGGCCTGTTTATTCAAGATCCTACGTCATGACGATAAAGAACTTGCACGGTAGTTTGTTGCACTATAAGATGAATAGTATTAACGGTCACAGATATTAAGTACTACTAGCACTAATAAATATTGGTGAATGCACTGTGTAAAATGGCGTACGAAAAATTTGGCGTGGAATTCTTGTGAAAGATAATGGATTCAAGGTTTTCAGGCTCTGGTATGATCTGATAGACTACATTCAGTTCTCCCAGCTGAATTTTCGATATCTGCAACAATTGGGAATTTCTCAATGTTTGCCTCACGCAAAAAAGTAGTTAGGTTTATATATTCTAAAGTATCCAACCCATCGTGCCTGTTTATCTATTTGTCTGAACGAGATGAGCTCAAAAACTACAGTTAGGGGCAGAAATATTTCCTTTAGAAATTCCATTGACAACGCTGCCTAATCTATTCGAAATATAACAGAAATAATTCAAAAGATATCTTTCTTATTCTATAGGTTCACAAAATCAAAACTTTCCCACGTTTCGATCACACCGTAGCTTCCTCGGTAGGCCGCGACGTTGATTGCGTTGACTTCAATTTTTGAGTCTTACTAGATTTTCTGACAGCGAAAAGTTCTCATGCGTTTCCTATCTTCGATTAATGAAAAATCGTTTGACGAACTATATTCAATGGTCAACTAAAGTTTCAGCCAGATCAACTAAACAGTAATTATATAGTTTTTCTTTTCCAGTGAATGTTAGACATGATTCTTCAAATCGATATATCCTTTCATTCATAATATGACTCAAATAAATCAAATACAAATGTTGAGTGAGTCGTTTTTGAGATTAGCGCCTAAGAATGTATTTACAAAAAAATCTAACTGTTAGGTTCTATTGCAATGATGAAGACCCACTAGAATTTTTCTCATGAAGTTTATATGTACAGAGAGCAAGCAATTAGGCTTTTATTGAATGTATTGATTGAGCTGTATAATATAATTTATTAATTTCAGCAAATTTGAAATTTTTGGCGTTGTTGAAATCAAAGAGTACACGTAGATTTCAGATATGGAATAGCCATCAGCGTGATGCCAAACTGGGCCTACTTTAACAATATTTTCGAACAGACAGACTGCCGGCTAAGGAAATTATACTCACTAACCTAAAAGAGTACTATAAGTACAATGAGATTTGAAGTGGAAATTATACAGTATTAGTAATTTTCAATTTGAATTTTTGTCCATAATCGGCCAGGTGAATTTTTTCATGAAATTTTTCAGAACAGTGCTACGTCACGAAGACTTTATTTATTTTTTGTGATATGTGATTATTCAACAGTCCTGAATCTATACTCGTATGTTCAATTTCGTCATCTACATTCAAATATAAGAGATTATGCCAATTCTTGAGTGACTTCGTCACTTATATTTCCCAATACCAATCAATTGGAATTTCTGTTGTTTCAATTCTTTATCTTTTTTTTTCACCATCTTTCCATTTCAACTGATGAAAGTGAGATATGAGCATGAATTTCATATTCTACGGGAGAAGTATCCCAACTAGCAATTTTATATTTTATAATAGTTGCGAAAACTTTTCGGAACAACAAATTATAAAACTGTATTTCTACCAGAAATGTTTCAAATGTGTAGGGAATTGGTACCGTTTTATAAAAATTTATAGTCTGTACTATTATTTTGTAAGGCCTTTTACAATCACTTCGAAACAGTTTCATAAACATTTCGGCAGTTACGATAAAATTTTTCTCACACTCATGAAAAGTACTTTTGTGAAGATACTTATAAAATAATTGAAACACAGTTTCATGAGACTTTTTCAGTAGTTCCAAATGAGCGTTATAAAATATAATGCAAACTAAAACGATAACGATGAAATGAAAAAGTGTTCGAAATATTTTTTCACGGCGCAAGAAATAATTTTGTATTGGACACTGGCAAAATATAATAGATATGTTACCAACTAATAACTAACAAATAGAAAGGTGGAACTCAGTTCAATAATTTTACCTTCCACTTATAAAACCATACAAAGCACAAAAGTGCTTGTATGAATATAGGATTTATCACGTATAGTTTGGATAAATATTATCTGTCGGGATGTTTTGGCTGAGAAGCATCGATTATAAAGGCTGAATTTCGAAGCAGTTTTGAGCTAGTGATTTGAAGGTATATATACATGGCGCTCTACTTGAAACGACGGATGTTAATTAACCTTTTCCTGTTTTTAGCAAAAACAAAATTGAAGCATTAGGTTACGTGGGTCTCCGTCTAAAACGCACCACTTTCTATATTTTTTTTTTCAATTACCAATATTACATGACATTATTAGGTATTAAGATGTTAGTAAAATAAATTTGACAAATTATACTCTATTACACGACCTCTGAAATCAATCAAGCGTAAACTTGAGGCATGAACTTTATGCGCTTGAGGAAGCTATTGTATAGCGAAACACATGTCGCGGTTTTTGTAAAACCCTTTTATAGTGAAAATCATACAATAAACTGTATCAATTAGATTGTTTTTGTAGAAGCAATTCGATTTTATAACAGTTATTTTATTGTTTTGAAATTGTAATAAATATACCTTGCTATAAAATAGTTGGGAAATTATAATTGAAGTGATGATATGGTAATGAGAACAAAATTGTGTTTGGAAGCATTTCAATGGAATAATTTCATTAAAGCTTCCGGAAGCAGTTATGAAATAAGCTTGAAATAGTTTTATAAAAATTATACAAACCTTACAGAAAAGTACTATAAAACTGCCACAAAACAAT